GTGTGGAGTGGAAATTTAAACAGACCCAACACAGCAGGCTGGCCTCTGCCCTCCTTTCTAAATGCTGATGATTTCTGTTATTAATTAAACATCTTAAGTGCCTTTGAAGAGGCCAGGAGACAATCCTTCATCAGGAAGACATTATGTCTAGCACAAAAACACACACACACACACACACACACAGACTCAGATAAGACACTGCTTACAGGAAACAGGATTTATTTCTGTTGACACGGTGAATGTCAGGCGCTTTGGATCGTCATTCCGAATTGATGTGTGGAAGCGAGGGACGGGCAGCCACTGTGCTCCCAAGAGCTTGCCTCGCGGCCGTACCGGGGGGGGGGGGGTGAAACCACAGATAGGGCCGGCCAGGCTAAAGCCACCCTCTGTATGTATCGCATTTCCGTTAAGTGATTCTCAGTTTTCCCCCTTTTGAAAACATGGAACACAAAGTCCCTGACATTTCCATCTCGGCGAGAACCCCCCCGCAGGGGAAAAAATACAGGCAGGGAGGGTCCTGCTCTTCGGGCTGCACGGTATGTACCCCCTCGCCCCACCAAATATGCCCCAGGAGACGCACAACTTAAACACACAGATCGGTGAGGAGGCTTGGAAGCTTCCTTGGGACGGCAAGCTGGACAGACAGAGCACCAGCACAGCACCGGCCCATGGCCTAGTAACGACCCAATATGACTGACACGACACTGCATGGGGGCTTGATGGAGTTGGCAAAGATTCAAACCATGTTCCTTACCTGAAACAGGGTGGCGTGGGGGTCATCCAGATTGACTTTCGGAGGAGTTATAACTGGGTGGGGTGGCCGCAAGAAAAACAAAACAAAACACGATATTAAAACACATTGTAGCACAAAGGGCTTAAAACAATTAGGCTTTAATTAACACTCCACACAACAGGCAGGGCTGGGAGGCCTGCTGCTACACACCAAGGGCCTCGCCGACCGCAGGAAAAACAGACACACTGGGAAGATGTACATGTGGTGGGGGGGGGCTTCACCAGCCCTGTTCACACCCAGTGGCAACTTTGGTCTTTTTGACTCCACAGAAGCAATTTGTTGTTTAATTAGAGCCTGGGAGACCCCACCCTACTATAAAAGGACACTTAATGGCTCCCGTCTCAAAGTCCGACCGACTCCGTTCCGGTCGTCTACCCTCTGATGGGGACGGGTAGCCCAGTTAAGACACTTAAAAAATAAGAATACAGATGAATGCTGTGTGGGGGAGGCAGTAGAGCTAAATTTGACACTAAACACGCCTCCCCCATGCTGCACATGCTACGCTAACCACGGAAGGCCGAGCTAAAGCCTCAGCCTCAACACGACAACGGAGCGAGCCCATCTGAGGCCCCGAACACTTCACGTCTCAGAGGTCGCTCAACGAACCGCCTCTGAGACAGAGAACCCAATCAGAGAATGGAGCTTCAAGTGGGGGGCGAGAATGAAGCGGTGTGTGTGTGATGGGAGAATGAAGCGCGTTAAGGTGTGTGCAGACGGATCAAGGGGGGGTAGGGAGACAAAGTGTCCGTCTAAGGTGGTGAAATAGCTGAGTGAGAGAAAGATTGAGGGGCATGTGTTTGTGTTGGGGCAAACATGACAGGAACGGCTCCTACTTACAGAGGTAAAAATGCATTGCGGGGTCTGTCAGGTTGGTACTCACGAACTGCTTCAGGGCCCCGACTGTAGACAGAAAAACAACTCCCTGTCATCAAATGAACACGAGAGGCCTAACAACAGCCTGCAAGGGAAAGAGGAAGGCTGCCATCTACCATCAATATGGAGCTGGTCCCCCCTTTGCAGCTACAGCAGCTGCCACTCTTCTGGGAAGACCTTCCACAAGATTATGGGAATTTTTGTCTATTCATCCAGAAGAGCATTTGTGAGGTCAGGCACTGATGTTGGACGTGAAGGCCTGGCTCACAATCTCCATTCTAATTAATCTCAAAGGTGTTTGATGGGGTTGAGGTCAGGGCTCTTTGTGGGCCAGTCAAGTTCTTCCACACCAAACTCACCCAGACATGTCTGTATGGACCTTGCTTTGTGCACTGGGGCACAGTCATGCTGGAACAGAAAAGGGCCTTCCCCAAACCGTTCCCACAATACAGTAAGCATAGAATTGCCCAAAATGCTTCGATATGTTTTACTTTTTACTGCAGCAATCCCGGGTACAAGGTCCAGTACTCCGGCCAGTTTCTGACTCATTTACCGTAATATCCCAACCGAGTCTGTAATTTCAAGCAGGATCTGGTCTCTGAGTGAGAGTACGCGTGCCGGTTTTTAAATAAAAACTGCAATGTCACGCCACAATGAAAACAATCCCCTTTGTCCACCACGGCTGTATCTGGATGCAATGCTGCTGTGTTTGAGATACAAATACCCAAGGCTGCGTGTGTTTGTGCGTGTGCGTGCATGCGCGTGTGTCTGTGTGTATAAAAGCAGTCGCGAGGCAAAGCCTCTTCAGAGCTCTAAGTGGAAGAGTCTAATAAAATTAAACCATCTCAAGAATGAAAGAGACAGACATCAAAGTCAAGTGGAATTGCCCAGGCCGTTTGATCTCTCCCTCTCGTCCCCCCCCCATCCCTGTTTCTCCTTCTCCCTCACGTAGGACGATTTTCACTCTGGTCTTCATTATTTCAGCCCCTCCGCAGACGCACACTTTAAAACGACTGTTATAGCTTTTTCCACGAGGATGAGCACACAACATCGTCTGGAGTCCGACATCAAGGAAGGACAGCTTGTGACTGACTGGTACACGCGGAGTCCTTTTTAAAAGAACCTTCCCGGATGGCCATTTAGGCTCTTCAAAACACCTCAGATTTAAATAACCATCAGTCCTTGGGGTACCCTTCCAGCGAGAGACTCACCTTATATAAGATTCAGGATCTCATATGTTCTTTGAGTCATAGTTCCAGGTACCCACTGAGTCACTGTGTTATATACCCTTTGGGTGAAAGTCTTGTTCACCTGTTGAGTGGTTCTACTACTGTTTGAGGGTTTCTCATAAGCCCCACACATCATAGTCCTGAATCACCATCTTGAATTTCCCTTCGGCCACAGAGCTGCATACCCGGCGAGTCTTTGTCTTTGAGTCAATCTTGAGTCATTCACATAACCACCTTCGGCTTCCTTTCAAAGCATGATCCTGTGTTCCCTGCAAGTCCGAGTGCCTTTGGAGTTGGTGGTCAGTGCTCAGTCACAGCCGTCCACTGTGAGTCAGTCCCGCAAGTCCATGAAATCAGCCTGAAATGCCATTCCAGTTACACTGACATGTGCCAGTCTGAATCACAGTTTAAGTTTGCCAAGTTCAACCTTTGAATTAGCCACGTTCTTGTGTTGTGACTGATTGGTATAGGTGGAGCCCTCCATTTTTACTAGGACCTTCCCATATCCCCATTTAGTTAAACAGGCTTCAGCCCTTGGGTACCCTTATAGCCGATTCTTTGACAGTTCCACAAACCCACTGAGTGAAGCCCTCTGTCACAGTTGTAGCCCTTTCACACCAGGGCTGGTGCCTATGCCTGTGCCTGCGCCTGCGCCTGTGCCTGCGCCGAGCCTAAATTCTGGTCCGGTTCTTGCATTCACACCAAAAATAAAAGTAGTGCTGGGCTGGAGCTCATTTTTCTGGTCCCAGAAGACTGCTTGGGCGAGGTTAGAGTCGTCAGAGCGGAAGGCAAAAGTTTACAAAGCAATGCGGAGTGAAATGGAGAAGGCAGGTGTTATCAGAATAATGGAGCAAGTCATGAACAAGACTTTTTTTAAAAATAAAAACGAATACAGGAAGTCAAAAAGAGAGCTAAATAAAAGCTGTGCTGGCTGCCCTAAAAACAAATCCGATGGACTCCGTGTTTGGAAACAGACCTGCTAACCAGGCGACTGGAACATTGGACTCCGTGTTTGGAAACAGACCTGCTAACCAGGTGACTGGAACATTGGACTCCGTGACTGCTTTGGAGGAATCGGGAGAGTTATTGCATTGTTTACTTGAAATGCGACTATGAACTTTAAATACGTTTGGTGTATGTCGGATGCCTTCCAAGAAATGTGTGACAGTTATGTACATCCCCGCATGACTCGCAGTTCACCCATGAATGCCTCTCCGATTGTGACCCGCTTCTTCACCGGAACACACAAAGGGCAATTTGTAGAAGTTGTTGGCAGATGTACTCAAATGACTCGAGGGACACTCAGAAATTTTGAATTAACTGTGTCGGGTTAAACCCAGGAACAATAACATATAATGCTAAAGATAATGCAAGCATGTCCAGTAAATTCAAAGAAGTCTTGCATTCATCGCATCTCACACAGTCCTCCAGTTTTGTCTTCGCTTCCAAAACGGTACCCCTCCCACAGCAAAACGCACACGCTGACGTCATCGTTCTACCCTTTCGGCACCAAGTGCAGTGTCAATGTGAGCCGGTTTTGGGTGGGGCCCATGTGAGCTCCAGCCCAGCTCTGCCCGAGCATCGGCACCAGCACTGGGTCCGGCGAGGGCTTAGTGTGAAAGGGCTACCGGAGTCACTGTGCTGTATACCCTTCGGGTCAAAGTGTTGTTCACCTGTTGAGTGGGTCTACTACTGTTTAAGGGTTTCTCATAGCTAGATGTCATAGTACAGAGTCACTGTCTTTCATGCCCTTCCGGCCACAGAGCTGCATACCCTGCGAGTCTTCGTCTTCGAGTCAATCTTGAGTCATTCACATAACCACCTTTGGTTGCCTTTGGAGTTGGTGTTCAGTGGTATGACTCACAATCTTCCACGGCGAGTCACTCCTGCAAGCCCATGAAATCAGCCTGAAGCGCAATTTGAGCTACACTGCCACGTGCCAGTTTGAATCACAGTTTGAGTCTGCCAAGTTCAAGTCTTAAATTAGTCATGTAGGCACAACCCGAAGTGCCATTCCAGTGACCTCCATGCATTTTCTTAAAGTCAACCCTTTGTTTCCGTTGAGTTCTGGTCCCATGCACCCTTGGGTATGCTTTGATTAGAGCTTTTTTTTTTTTTTTTTACTCTTGGGGACTCATTTCACCAACCGGTCTATGCTGTTCATCCCGGTAGCAACAGATGTTACCAAATGTTAAAGAGTCCCCAGTTAAGCTGTAGGTGCATGAACATGCAGGGGTACCATCCACTGAGTCAGCTGTGGGGGGACGACTGACTCGACTTGTAAAGCGTGTCATTCTGAGAGATGCTAGAGCAAAGAGCCACGGACAAGCACAGGACAGTCAAACCAAGGCCGTGATCTTCTACCAATGTCAGTGCAGTCAGAAACATACCAGGGGGTCCCAGTACTAGGGTGACACCACAAATCAACGTGCTCAAAATTCACACCACTGCCCTCACCGCACCACTTTTCAACCTCTCACTTCCTGAAGAATACAGTATCCCCATTACCTTCGGCTCAGCAGGAGACATACAGGCTAGCATGACTTCCTCTCTTCATCCTCCTCCTCTTCACCACCTTATAATAAAAATGTGTAATAAAACTATTTCTTGAATCCCTCCACCTCCTCACCCTTTCCACTTCTATTAAAATATTTCTGTCCACCCCTACAGGAATCTTCAGCCAATTCAAGCACTGACCAACACCAATAAAAAAAATGCAAATTTAGCTCCCTCACCCCCGTTTCCCCCTATTTGACGCGTTGGGCTGCAGTGTCTGTGTTGGACGTTGCAGAGTGCTTGTGTCTGAGCTCATTTAACTCAGCCACCACTGCGAACCATCCCTCGACGACGCCGTCACGCGAACTGCACGTGTCCCAGAGCAATTGGCGGAGGGGGAGGGGCAGGAGGCTAAGACAGACATGCCACACACAGACCGAAGAACAACAACACAAACAAAGAGCCCCCACATGAAAGGGCCACAATGCGCCGCCGCGCCCCGGCCGAGGCAATTTCACACGGTGATTTTGGATATTAGCAGCAGCGGCCGGAATGAAAGACCCCAGTTGCATCTTTAAGCTGCTAAGAGCCTCACATCTGACACAGAGAGGGTGACACTGCAGGCGATGCACGTTAAAGGCACATTGTACCACGGAGGTGCCCGCTTTGATCTCACCGGTCAACTGAAACTAATACTTGACTTTTGTTCAGGTTTTTCCTTGCATTCGGCTCAGTCACCATCTCGAATGCATTAAAAAAAAAAAAAAAAAAAACACACTCAGATGACGCTTTTCCATTGATTCGATTTTTGTTCTTGCTTGAGCATGTAGACGCCTTTTCTGGGAAAACACAAAGCCTGATAGAGCCTGAGGTTCTGCAATGAGCATCAACACCTGACAAGGCCTGGTAGGGATTCTAAACGAGGTCACTCAGGCGGGATGGGGAGCTGAAGAAAGAGGCAGCAAAAGGGTTTGGTGAAGGTAGCGGGATCTTAAGTGCAAGAAGAGTAAAAGAGCTAAACGGTCTATGTTCTATCTGTGTAGAGTTAGTGTTGGGTTTATAGCTTCAGCATCTGCAAACCAAGCAGCCTCACCTGTCTCCAAGGGCCGGAAGAAACCCTGCAGGACATGTCTGTCAGGAAACTGGATCCTTACCACCACCTACAAGAGCAGGTCAACACATACAGGCTCAGGAACACGAATCTGCCAATCGCAGCAAATGAGGCTTTACCAAGATGTTAATTTATACAACAAGGGGACAGCAGCCAAGGATGAGTGAAAAGGCGCAGCCGTCTTTGTGATGTGGGCAAGATGGCGGAACAGCAAGAAAACGCAACTCCTTACCTTGGGGTATCTCTCCATCTTTTCCTTCATCTGGGACTCCCGCAGGGCCTTGGTTATTAACGGTGCCTCCTCCAAGTTCTTTCTGGAGGGGGGGGGGGGGGAGAGAGGAAAGGCAAAAAAAAGGGGGGAGGAGGTCAAGAAGAATGGCTTTGTGGAAAAACAAAAGCAAATTAGCGATCTCGCTTAAGACAAAACAAAACCTAAGAAATAGCTGCTGGATTCGATTTCCATAGGAGTTATGATAGCTAAGCTCCACTGTCCTACCAGCAAGAGAAGACATATAAGCATAAAACCATGAATAAGCAAACAGGACGGACGGCCCCATCATGGCAGCCTTGCTCTGAGTGCGCCTGACAGTCTGGCTGTCCACATGTGCTTTTTTACACAGGAAACAAGGAACTAGGTGGAAAAATCCAAACAACGATCAAAAACAAGGAAAACGGCACCCACCCTTTCAGATGAGTAGGTGGAGTGTGTGTGTGCGTGTGTGCATGTGGGGGGTCACTAATATGCAGTTTCTCCTTTAAAAAAAACAAACGACACGGAGACCATAAGACGGCCCAGAGGCCCGAGAGCAGAGCCGGGCCTCACGCCACGTCGCGTGAGCCTCGGAGCGCAGGGAGCCCCGTGCGGTGAGCTGGGGGACCCGCGCTGCTGCTCCGTGTAGACAGATTACCACTTCATTAAACAAACCAAACATCTGACAATAACAGCTTTTTTTCCCCCTTTCCCTTGAAAACGAACAGACACACGTTCTGCCAAGAAAATTACCCAGAGCCTCCGGCCACTTAAAACAGCTACGGAGCGTCTCATTCAGAAATGACTGCAATACTGCGCGTTTATGGAAAGGAACTGGAAACCTGTCCTGAAATATACAAGCAAAAAACAAGTTTACTGGTACAGACATGCGAATCGAGATGGACGACTAGTATACACTGTCTATTTATAAAGTGGTGCATTAATTAAATTGTAGTACATAAAGAAAAAAAAACAGTAAAGAAAAGATGTTCTTCTGGTCTGTATGGCTTGTAGATGGTGGGCGGGGCTTCCTGGAAGGTATTATAACAACGCAGAAAGCAGCTCAGGGAACTGGTCAGAGCGGGAGACCGCAGTTTTGAGGTTGACCAGAATAGGTCATAAAACAGTAAACGAACCACGGGGCTGGCAATGCAGGGGAGAGGGGGGCACGACATGCGGACAAGAGGGAGATTCACCTTCCCCGGTCACCCGCGGCCAAGATCGGACTAGGATTTAAAAAAAAATAAAAAATAAAAAAATCTGATTGAGCTCTGGAATTTCTGTGCTCATTAAACGAGCTGTAATTGACAGGACCGCAAACCCCTAAGGGGCTGGGGGGGTCGTGGGCTCTTAAACCCACGCTGACGGAGACACGCGGCAGTTTCACCTTCACTGACGATGCGATGGCAGCCCGCCGTGTCAATTAAGGTGAGGGGGGAACCCACCAGCCGGCAGAGAGTTCTTAATGATTGTGTCTGTGTGTAGATTATATACTGTCTTCACCACCAATGCCCCCCCCCCCCCCCCCCCCCCCCCCCCCCCCGGCTATGGCAGTGAGCACGACCTGGCAAGTTTGCTCCCTCTGCTTGGGAATGAACCACTGCTAACATGGGGAAAAATTCTTGGTCTTAATCCTGCTGTCTGTCACAGTGTCACAGCCACACAGATGTGGCCCTGGAGACCCAGTCGGTCTGTTCAAAACACAGAGTCTCACCGTCTCAGTCTCTCAGAATCACTGTAACAGACAGTTAGATCTGGCGTCTGTTGCTCCAACTCACCTAGCCCACTGGGAAGCATCAGCAGTGCTCTGCGGTGGTACGGAAAGCACGCTGCCCCTCCCCGAATTCCACAGCACAGAGCGACTCGACCCAGCAGCTCCGGCCCAGAGAAGAACCGGGCGACCGGCCTGGTGGCACTTCAAAGTGCGAAGTGCGTGTTTCTAAATGAAACAGCCCGTAAAACGTGGCGGAGAGCGGACGGCCCGAGCCAGATGAAAGGGGGCCTTTGCCAAAGCTCACGGCGGCGCTGACACCCCCGCCTCTCAGACACAAAGCAGAGCCGACACAGAGCCATTTCCCAAAACGGGAGGGAAAAAAGAAAGGATTCTTCCATTTGCAAGGAGGAATCTACAGTCTAAACAAACCATCGGAATATCGGCACTTTTTATTTTAAACTTGAAAGTTATTTCAACAAAAAAAAAACCAAGTTCGCGCACAGACCCATACACACACACAGACACACACGCACGCACACGTACACACGCACACACATGCACAGACACACACGCACGCACAGACACACACGCACGCACACGTACACACTCACACACATGCACAGACACACACGCACGCACACGTACGCACACACCTGGTGATCTGTTATATGTTTAATTTTTTCCCCCCCAAAGAATGTAAAGCACATGTGACGGGAGTATGTGACGACTCTTCACCTCTCGCTTTTGAGCTGGGCGAATCTTTTCCGCACATCGTCGATGGTCACCTCGAAGAACTCATCCGGCAGTTCATTGTCCGCAGAACTGCGGCGGATTCCCACATCCAGGTGGTACACAAGCGGCTCCCTATCCACGGGCTGTGGGGGTGGGGGTGGGGGTGGGGGCATGCAGAGGGGTGGGTGAGGCGCAGACAGGCCACAGAACACAGGAAGGATAAACGGGGGTGTGATTATCATCATAGATGCTGGTCTGGAGGATCAATCTGCCAGTATCACACCCTTTTGTCTCCAATGCAGGATAAAGGCTGAAATTACACTGATGTTTCCTTGTGGACCAGGCTATGACCCCCAGGGGGGCTGGGATCAAGATTGGGGGGGGGGGGAGACACTTGGCATCAATCCCCCTGCTCCCCAACATTTTTTTTAATGATCATGAAGAACTCACTTATATCTAAACTTCCAAAGTGTGGGTTTTATGGTCAATCTCTAGCTCGCCGCTGTGACAGGAAGAACGTCAGCATGACAGGAGCCAATGAGCTGATGAAGAGACTCCATACTTCAGCCCCCTTTCACTGACGCGTCATGTTGACCTTGATGTGATTTACTGTTACTGTTATCGCTAAGTTTCCACATTCGTTCAGGGTGAGGACATTGCCCACAGCCCCCCACCCCCTTATCTGGGATGAGTGTCACGCATCCCATGAATGTCAGGTCAGTCTGGAGGCGCTGGCCAATCAGACCCCCCTTCGTTCTACAGTGGACATCATTCATAGATTAGAAGGAAAACCAACTGGTGGAAGGCAAGTATCAACGGTCACTACGGTTACGATGCTGAAAGAGAGACAGCCTACGGTTGCCTTGTGATGCATCTGGAACTTTCCACCCCGCTGAAAGGGCCAGGGATTTCATCAGGCTGTGCCCGATCCTCCCCATCGTCATGGCGACGGCCCTTCCATGTGATCAGTGACTATCCGTCATAATGCTCGCCACCTTAACCACTGGGCATTAAAGGAACCCCTCCCCTATAGGCCCCCACCTGCCCGTTCCATCAGGGATTCCAAAGCAGGTAGGTGGTGACAGCATGGGCCCCCCTCCCCGGTGTCAGCTCCCCTGCCCGACACTCTGCCCCCCCCCCACAGCCCGCCTCACCTGCAGAAAGAGCTCCGGCTCCCCGCCTTGCCGCTGGTCCTCCTCCCTCCCGCTGCTCCTGACCATCTCTACAGCCTGAAAGGTGACGTTTACAGCAGAGTTCAGCCTCATGAATGACAGGATAAGGCGAGGAGAACACAGATGACAAGGCTTTGTGTTCCCCTTTTGGACTTTAAAGAAGTATTTGGGGCCTCGCAGTCCCAGCCAGGGTGGGGACCTCCTTTCTTGGGGGTTTCATGCTCTGTCTTTTTTTGGGCGGGCGCCCACAGCTGCTCAAAGTACAGGACAGGGGCAGCGTAATTACAGCCTAACGAGCAGGCTGAGCGGCGCCCCCGCTGCAGGACATGGCACATGACAGCCGGGGTTCCCCCGACACTCAACCAGCTGTACATGCTGTACATACACTCCCTTTCCACTTTAACTAGGATATCACGGGCCACTGTGAGCTAAAAATGCATGCAATCATCATGGGTGACCGTGACACACACTGCTCACACACGCACCTGACTGGCAGACACACGCTGCTCACACACGCACTTGACTGGCAGACACACACTGCGCACACACGCACCTGACTGGCAGACACACGCCGCTCACACACGCACTTGACTGGCAGACACACACTGCGCACACACACTTGACTGGCAGACACACACTGCTCACACACGCACCTGACTGGCAGACACACACTGCGCACTTGACTGACAGACACACTGCGCACACAAAGCCCCCATCACTGATTTGCACTCCGTCTCCCTGATTCAGAGTACCAGTTATTGACAGAAATGGGAACAAACGAGCAGCTTCTGATCCTAGACACGTCTATGGCAATTAACGAGAGCATCCTGAACGAATGTGGAAACTTACCACCAACAGTGACCTCACACGCCAATCAGACCAGATAAATCACATTGACGTGAACGTGACGCACTAGTAAAAGCAGGAGTGAGACACGGAGCCCCTTCATCGGCTCACACTGGCTCCCATCATGCTGACGTTCTTCCTGTCAGACAGGGTAGCGCCAGAGGAAAAAAAAACACACTTTGGAAGCAGACTGATTTTTCCTTGTTTGAGCGATTTACAGAAGCGAGTATCTGTGATCCCAACCGCTGCTTCCAATCAG